TCCTGGGGTTGACCTGGTGGCCGAGCAGGGACTTAGACATTTTTTCAGCCGTTTTTTTCCTCCGGGTTGACCTGGTGGCCGAGCAGGGACTTAGACATTTTTTCAGCCGTTTTTTCCTCCGGGTTGACCTGGTGGCCGAGCAGGGACTTAGACATTTTTTCAGCCGTTTTTTCCTCCGGGTTGACCTGGTGGCCGAGCAGGGACTTAGACATTTTTTCAGCCGTTTTTTCCTCCGGGTTGACCTGGTGGCCGAGCAGGGACTTCTTTTTTCTTTTTCCTCCGGGTTGACCTGGTGGCCGAGCAGGGACTTAGACATTTTTTCAGCCGTTTTTCCTCCGGGTTGACCTGGTGGCCGAGCAGGGACTTAGACATTTTTTCAGCCGTTTTTTCCTCCGGGTTGACCTGGTGGCCGAGCAGGGACTTAGACATTTTTTCAGCCGTTTTTTCCTCCGGGTTGACCTGGTGGCCGAGCGCCTCGCCATCCGCGGCTGGAACGGGAGAAGGCCAACAGGCCAGCCTGCGACGCCCCGGCCGTGGATCGGGCCCCTGGAAGTCGGAAAAAAAATTTTCACCGACCCCAGAAAGGGTTCTGGGGGGACATCCGGACCACGCTCCGGCCAAAAAAGGAAAAAAAAAAAACGGAAAAAAGGATCGGGCCCACCCGAGGCACGGGAGTCACCAGGTCAACCCGGAGCTTCCTCCGCGGGCTGGGACGGACGGACCCCGCTCCGCCCGGGTCTCCCTGCCTCGAGCTCGGGGCTTCCTTCCCGTCCGCACACCGGGTCAACCCGGAGCCTGCCCCCGCCAGAGAACTCCCCCAGGCCAGCCTGCGACGCCGCGGCCACTGATCGGGCCCCTGGAAGTCTTTTTTTAAAAAATTTCCCCGACCCCCAGAAAGGGTTCTGGGGGGCATCCGGACCACGCTCCGGCCAAAAAAGGAAAAAAAAAAAAAAGCGGAAAAAAGGATCGGGGCCACCCGAGGCAGGGGAGTCACCAGGTCAACCCGGAGCTTCCCCCGCGGGCTGGGGACGGACGGACCCCGCTCCGCCCGGGTCTCCCAGCCTCGAGCTCGGGGCTTCCTTCCCGTCCGGACACCGGGTCAACCCGGAGCCTGCCCCCGCCAGAGAACTCCCCCAGGCCAGCCTGCGACGCCGCGGCCACTGATCGGGCCCCTGGAAGTCTTTTTTTAAAAAATTTCCCCGACCCCCAGAAAGGGTTCTGGGGGGCATCCGGACCACGCTCCGGCCAAAAAAGGAAAAAAAAAAAAAAGCGGAAAAAAGGATCGGGGCCACCCGAGGCAGGGGAGTCACCAGGTCAACCCGGAGCTTCCCCCGCGGGCTGGGGACGGACGGACCCCGCTCCGCCCGGGTCTCCCAGCCTCGAGCTCGGGGCTTCCTTCCCGTCCGGACACCGGGTCAACCCGGAGCCTGCCCCCGCCAGAGAACTCCCCCAGGCCAGCCTGCGACGCCGCGGCCACTGATCGGGCCCCTGGAAGTCTTTTTTTAAAAAATTTCCCCGACCCCCAGAAAGGGTTCTGGGGGGCATCCGGACCACGCTCCGGCCAAAAAAGGAAAAAAAAAAAAAAAGCGGAAAAAAGGATCGGGGCCACCCGAGGCAGGGGAGTCACCAGGTCAACCCGGAGCTTCCCCCGCGGGCTGGGGACGGACGGACCCCGCTCCGCCCGGGTCTCCCAGCCTCGAGCTCGGGGCTTCCTTCCCGTCCGGACACCGGGTCAACCCGGAGCCTGCCCCCGCCAGAGAACTCCCCCAGGCCAGCCTGCGACGCCGCGGCCACTGATCGGGCCCCTGGAAGTCTTTTTTAAAAAATTTCCCCGACCCCCAGAAAGGGTTCTGGGGGGCATCCGGACCACGCTCCGGCCAAAAAAGGAAAAAAAAAAAAAAAGCGGAAAAAAGGATCGGGGCCACCCGAGGCAGGGGAGTCACCAGGTCAACCCGGAGCTTCCCCCGCGGGCTGGGGACGGACGGACCCCGCTCCGCCCGGGTCTCCCAGCCCTCGCCTCGAGCTCGTGGGCTTCCTTCCCGTCCGGACACCGGGTCAACCCGGAGCCTGCCCCCGCCAGAGAACTCCCCCAGGCCAGCCTGCGACGCCGCGGCCACTGATCGGGCCCCTGGAAATTTTTTTTTAAAAATTTCCCCGACCCCCAGAAAGGGTTCTGGGGGCATCCGGACCACACTCCGGCCAAAAAAAAAAAAAAAAAAAAAGCGGAAAAAAGGATCGGGGCCACCCGAGGCAGGGGAGTCACCAGGTCAACCCGGAGCTTCCCCCGCGGGCTGGGGACGGACGGACCCCGCTCCGCCCGGGTCTCCCTGCCTCGAGCTCGGGGCTTCCTTCCCGTCCGGACACCAGGTCAACCCCCGGGCCCCCCCCCCGGGGGGGGGGGGGGGGCCCCCCCCCCCCCCCCGCCCCCCCGCCCCGAACTCGGGGCTTCCTTCCCGTCCGGACACCAGGTCAACCCGGAGCCTGCCCCCGCCAGAGAACTCCCCCAGGCCAGCCTGCGAAGCCGCGGCCACTGATCGGGCCCCTTGGAAGTCTTTTTTAAAAAATTCCCCGACCCCCAGAACGGGTTCTGGGGGGCATCCGGACCACGCTCCGGCCAAAAAAGGAAAAAAAAAAAAAAGCGGAAAAAAGGATCGGGGCCACCCGAGGCAGGGGAGTCACCAGGTCAACCCGGAGCTTCCCCCGCGGGCTGGGGACGGACGGACCCCGCTCCGCCCGGGTCTCCCTGCCTCGAGCTCGGGGCTTCCTTCCCGTCCGGACACCAGGTCAACCCGGAGCTTTCCCCGCGTGCTGGGGCCGGACGGACCCCGCTCCGCCCGTGTCCCCCTGCCCCGAACTCGGGGCTTCCTTCCCGTCCGGACACCAGGTCAACCCGGAGCCTGCCCCCGCCAGAGAACTCCCCCAGGCCAGCCTGCGAAGCCGCGGCCACTGATCGGGCCCCTTGGAAGTCTTTTTTAAAAAATTCCCCGACCCCCAGAACGGGTTCTGGGGGGCATCCGGACCACGCTCCGGCCAAAAAAGGAAAAAAAAAAAAAAGCGGAAAAAAGGATCGGGGCCACCCGAGGCAGGGGAGTCACCAGGTCAACCCGGAGCTTCCCTCGCGGGCTGGGGACGGACGGACACCGCTCCGCCCGCTTCTCCCTGCCTCGAGCTCGGGGCTTCCTTCCCGTCCGGACACCAGGTCAACCCGGAGCTTTCCCCGCGTGCTGGGGCCGGACGGACCCCGCTCCGCCCGTGTCCCCCTGCCCCGAACTCGGGGCTTCCTTCCCGTCCGGACACCAGGTCAACCCGGAGCCTGCCCCCGCCAGAGAACTCCCCCAGGCCAGCCTGCGAAGCCGCGGCCACTGATCGGGCCCCTTGGAAGTCTTTTTTAAAAAAATTCCCCGACCCCCAGAACGGGTTCTGGGGGGCATCCGGACCACGCTCCGGCCAAAAAAGGAAAAAAAAAAAAAGAAACGGGGCCCCCCCAGGGAGGGGAGTCACCAGGTCACCCCGGACCCGGAGCTTCCCTCGCGGGCTGGGGACGGACGGACACCGCTCCGCCCGCTTCTCCCTGCCTCGAGCTCGGGGCTTCTTTCCCGTCCGGACACCAGGTCAACCCGGAGCTTCCCCCGCGGGCTGGGGAAGGACGGACCCCGCTCCGCCCGTGTCTCCCTGCCTCGAGCTCGGGGCTTCCTTCCCGTCCGGACACCAGGTCAACCCGGAGCTTCCCCCGCGGGCTGGGGAAGGACGGACCCCGCTCCGCCCGGGTCTCCCTGCCTCGAGCTCGGGGCTTCCTTCCCGTCCGGACACCAGGTCAACCCGGAGCTTTTCCCGCCTGCTGGGGCCGGACGGACCCCGCTCCGCCCGGGTCCCCCTTCCCCGAACTCGGGTCTTCTTTCCCGTCCGGACACCAGGTCAACCCGGAGCCTGCCCCCGCCATACAAGTCCCCCAGGCCACCCTGCGATGCCGTGGGCAGGGATCGAGACCCTGGAAGTCTGAAAAAAAAATTCACCGACCGCAAAAGGGGTTCTGGGGTGCATCCAGACCACTTTCCGCACAAAAAAAAAAAAAAAAAACGGAAAAAAGGATCGGGCCCACCCGAGGCAGGGCACTCACCGGGTCAAACCGGAGGCTGTGCAGAGAAGTCCGCCAGGTCAGCCTGGAACGCCGCGGCCAGGGATCGGGCCCCTGGAAGTCTGAATTTTTTTTTCACCGGCCTTAAAAGGGGTGCCGGGGAGGCATCCCGACCACTCTCCGGCCAAAAAAGAAAAACAAAAAAAACGGAAAAAAGGATCGGGACCACCCGAGGCAGGGGAGTCACCAGGTCAACCCGGAGCCTGCAGCGCGAGCTGGGGCCGGACGGACATCGCTCCGTCCGGGTCCCCCTGCCACGGGGTCGGGGCTTCATTCCCGTAAGGACACCAGGTCAACCCGGAGCGTGCTCCCGCGCACAGGCGCCGGCAGGCCCTCTCCGCCCACGGCAGAACAGACGCGGGCTCGGGGCTAAATTCCCGTCCGGCCACCAGGTCAACCTAATACTTTCAACGGGTTGACCTGGTGGCCCGTTCGCTTTTCGGCCACCAGGTCAACCCTATACTTTCAACGGGTTTACCTGGTGGCCGGTTCGCTTTTCGGCCACCAGGTCAACCCTATACTTTCAACGGGTTTACCTGGTGGCCGGTTCGCTTTTCGGCCACCAGGTCAACCCTATACTTTCAACGGGTTTACCTGGTGGCCGGTTTGCTTTTCGGCCACCAGGTCAACCCTATACTTTCAACGGGTTTACCTGGTGGCCGAAAGACAAACCGGCCACCAGGTCAACCCGGTTCCTCCCCCGCGGGCTGGGGCCGGCGAACCACCGGTCTTTCCCGGGTGCCCCTGCCGCGGGGCCCCGGGCTTAATTCTCCTCCGGCCACCAGGTCAACCCGGTTCCTGCCCCCGCGGGCTGGGGCCGGCGGACCCCGGTCTTTCCCGGGTGCCCCTGCCGAGGGGTCCCGGGCTTAATTCTCCTCCGGCCACCAGGTCAACCCGGTTCCTGCCCCCGCGGGCTGGGGCCGGCGGACCCCGGTCTTTCCCGGGTGCCCCTGCCGCGGGGCCCCGGGCTTAATTCTCCTCCGGCCACCAGGTCAACCCGGTTCCTGCCCCCGCGGGCTGGGGCCGGCGGACCCCGGTCTTTCCCGGGTGCCCCTGCCGAGGGGTCCCGGGCTTAATTCTCCTCCGGCCACCAGGTCAACCCGGTTCCTGCCCCCGCGGGCTGGGGCCGGCGGACCCCGGTCTTTCCCGGGTGCCCCTGCCGAGGGGTCCCGGGCTTAATTCTCCTCCGGCCACCAGGTCAACCCGGTTCCTGCCCCCGCGGGCTGGGGCCGGCGGACCCCGGTCTTTCCCGGGTGCCCCTGCCGAGGGGTCCCGGGCTTAATTCTCCTCCGGCCACCAGGTCAACCCGGTTCCTGCCCCCGCGGGCTGGGGCCGGCGGACCCCGGTCTTTCCCGGGTGCCCCTGCCGCGGGGTCCCGGGCTTAATTCTCCTCCGGCCACCAGGTCAACCCGGTTCCTGCCCCCGCGGGCTGGGGCCGGCGGACCCCGGTCTTTCCCGGGTGCCCCTGCCGAGGGGTCCCGGGCTTAATTCTCCTCCGGCCACCAGGTCAACCCGGTTCCTGCCCCCGCGGGCTGGGGCCGGCGGACCCCGGTCTTTCCCGGGTGCCCCTGCCGAGGGGTCCCGGGCTTAATTCTCCTCCGGCCACCAGGTCAACCCGGTTCCTGCCCCCGCGGGCTGGGGCCGGCGGACCCCGGTCTTTCCCGGGTGCCCCTGCCGAGGGGTCCCGGGCTTAATTCTCCTCCGGCCACCAGGTCAACCCGGTTCCTGCCCCCGCGGGCTGGGGCCGGCGGACCCCGGTCTTTCCCGGGTGCCCCTGCCGAGGGTCCCGGGCTTAATTCTCCTCCGGCCACCAGGTCAACCCGGTTCCTGCCCCCGCGGGCTGGGGCCGGCGGACCCCGGTCTTTCCCGGGTGCCCCTGCCGAGGGGTCCCGGGCTTAATTCTCCTCCGGCCACCAGGTCAACCCGGTTCCTGCCCCCGCGGGCTGGGGCCGGCGGACCCCGGTCTTTCCCGGGTGCCCCTGCCGAGGGGTCCCGGGCTTAATTCTCCTCCGGCCACCAGGTCAACCCGGTTCCTGCCCCCGCGGGCTGGGGCCGGCGGACCCCGGTCTTTCCCGGGTGCCCCTGCCGAGGGGTCCCGGGCTTAATTCTCCTCCGGCCACCAGGTCAACCCGGTTCCTGCCCCCGCGGGCTGGGGCCGGCGGACCCCGGTCTTTCCCGGGTGCCCCTGCCGAGGGTCCCGGGCTTAATTCTCCTCCGGCCACCAGGTCAACCCGGTTCCTGCCCCCGCGGGCTGGGGCCGGCGGACCCCGGTCTTTCCCGGGTGCCCCTGCCGAGGGGTCCCGGGCTTAATTCTCCTCCGGCCACCAGGTCAACCCGGTTCCCCCCTTCCCGGGTGCCCCTGCCGAGGGGTCCCGGGCTTAATTCTCCTCCGGCCACCAGGTCAACCCGGTTCCTGCCCCCGCGGGCTGGGGCCGGCGGACCCCGGTCTTTCCCGGGTGCCCCTGCCGAGGGGTCCCGGGCTTAATTCTCCTCCGGCCACCAGGTCAACCCGGTTCCTGCCCCCGCGGGCTGGGGCCGGCGGACCCCGGTCTTTCCCGGGTGCCCCTGCCGAGGGGTCCCGGGCTTAATTCTCCTCCGGCCACCAGGTCAACCCGGTTCCTGCCCCCGCGGGCTGGGGCCGGCGGACCCCGGTCTTTCCCGGGTGCCCCTGCCGAGGGGTCCCGGGCTTAATTCTCCTCCGGCCACCAGGTCAACCCGGTTCCTGCCCCCGCGGGCTGGGGCCGGCGGACCCCGGTCTTTCCCGGGTGCCCCTGCCGAGGGGTCCCGGGCTTAATTCTCCTCCGGCCACCAGGTCAACCCGGTTCCTGCCCCCGCGGGCTGGGGCCGGCGGACCCCGGTCTTTCCCGGGTGCCCCTGCCGAGGGGTCCCGGGCTTAATTCTCCTCCGGCCACCAGGTCAACCCGGTTCCTGCCCCCGCGGGCTGGGGCCGGCGGACCCCGGTCTTTCCCGGGTGCCCCTGCCGAGGGTCCCGGGCTTAATTCTCCTCCGGCCACCAGGTCAACCCGGTTCCTGCCCCCGCGGGCTGGGGCCGGCGGACCCCGGTCTTTCCCGGGTGCCCCTGCCGAGGGGTCCCGGGCTTAATTCTCCTCCGGCCACCAGGTCAACCCGGTTCCTGCCCCCGCGGGCTGGGGCCGGCGGACCCCGGTCTTTCCCGGGTGCCCCCCCCGTGCCGAGGGGTCCCGGGCTTAATTCTCCTCCGGCCACCAGGTCAACCCGGTTCCTGCCCCCGCGGGCTGGGGCCGGCGGACCCCGGTCTTTCCCGGGTGCCCCTGCCGAGGGGTCCCGGGCTTAATTCTCCTCCGGCCACCAGGTCAACCCGGTTCCTGCCCCCGCGGGCTGGGGCCGGCGGACCCCGGTCTTTCCCGGGTGCCCCTGCCGAGGGGTCCCGGGCTTAATTCTCCTCCGGCCACCAGGTCAACCCGGTTCCTGCCCCCGCGGGCTGGGGCCGGCGGACCCCGGTCTTTCCCGGGTGCCCCTGCCGAGGGGTCCCGGGCTTAATTCTCCTCCGGCCACCAGGTCAACCCGGTTCCTGCCCCCGCGGGCTGGGGCCGGCGGACCCCGGTCTTTCCCGGGTGCCCCTGCCGAGGGGTCCCGGGCTTAATTCTCCTCCGGCCACCAGGTCAACCCGGTTCCTGCCCCCGCGGGCTGGGGCCGGCGGACCCCGGTCTTTCCCGGGTGCCCCTGCCGAGGGGTCCCGGGCTTAATTCTCCTCCGGCCACCAGGTCAACCCGGTTCCTGCCCCCGCGGGCTGGGGCCGGCGGACCCCGGTCTTTCCCGGGTGCCCCTGCCGAGGGTCCCGGGCTTAATTCTCCTCCGGCCACCAGGTCAACCCGGTTCCTGCCCCCGCGGGCTGGGGCCGGCGGACCCCGGTCTTTCCCGGGTGCCCCTGCCGAGGGGTCCCGGGCTTAATTCTCCTCCGGCCACCAGGTCAACCCGGTTCCTGCCCCCGCGGGCTGGGGCCGGCGGACCCCGGTCTTTCCCGGGTGCCCCTGCCGGGGGTCCCCGGGCTTAATTCTCCTCCGGCCACCAGGTCAACCCGGTTCCTGCCCCCGCGGGCTGGGGCCGGCGGACCCCGGTCTTTCCCGGGTGCCCCTGCCGAGGGGTCCCGGGCTTAATTCTCCTCCGGCCACCAGGTCAACCCGGTTCCTGCCCCCGCGGGCTGGGGCCGGCGGACCCCGGTCTTTCCCGGGTGCCCCTGCCGAGGGGTCCCGGGCTTAATTCTCCTCCGGCCACCAGGTCAACCCGGTTCCTGCCCCCGCGGGCTGGGGCCGGCGGACCCCGGTCTTTCCCGGGTGCCCCTGCCGGGGTCCCGGGCTTAATTCTCCTCCGGCCACCAGGTCAACCCGGTTCCTGCCCCCGCGGGCTGGGGCCGGCGGACCCCGGTCTTTCCCGGGTGCCCCTGCCGAGGGTCCCGGGCTTAATTCTCCTCCGGCCACCAGGTCAACCCGGTTCCTGCCCCCGCGGGCTGGGGCCGGCGGACCCCGGTCTTTCCCGGGTGCCCCTGCCGGGGGTCCCGGGCTTAATTCTCCTCCGGCCACCAGGTCAACCCGGTTCCTGCCCCCGCGGGCTGGGGCCGGCGGACCCCGGTCTTTCCCGGGTGCCCCTGCCGACGCTGTCCCGGGCTTAATTCTCCTCCGGCCACCAGGTCAACCCGGTTCCTGCCCCCGCGGGCTGGGGCCGGCGGACCCCGGTCTTTCCCGGGTGCCCCTGCCGAGGGGTCCCGGGCTTAATTCTCCTCCGGCCACCAGGTCAACCCGGTTCCTGCCCCCGCGGGCTGGGGCCGGCGGACCCCGGTCTTTCC